GGGTCCTGCATTGCACCCCATAATTCTTTTGTAGTCTTCAGATTTCATAATGCCATGCACACAGTCAAAACATCCAGTGCCTGAAACAGCAAAGCAACTGCAAAACATCAGTGAACCTCCACCATGTTTGACTGTAGGGACTGTGTTCTTTTCGTTAAAAGCTTCATTTCTTTTTCTGAAAACAGTAGAATGATGGGCTTTACCAAAAAGATGCTATGCTGTTTCTTCAGTCCACAGCACATTGTTCCAAAAGGATTTTGGCTTCCTCAGGTAAGTTTTGGCAAACTCCAATCTGGCTTTTTTATTTTTCTGTGTCAGCAGTGGTGTCCTCCTGGGTCTCCTAAATAACGTCCATTTTCATTCAGATGGCAACGTTAAGTTCAAACTGTCACAGCTGTACCCTGTGTTGAAGGTTAGCTTGAATTTGTCTGGAATTTGATTGAGGTACTTTATCCACCATTCAAACAATCCTTTGTTGCAATCTTTGATCGATTTTTCTCTTTCGTCCACATCCAGGAAGATTAACTATGTTGCGCACAGTGGACACAGGAGTTTAATTACAAATTACAGGAGCATCACAAACTTGGAATGCAATTTCTTACAATTTTGAGAAGGTGCCAATAATTTTGTCCAGTCCATTTTTGGGGTTTTGCGTGGAATGTGTCAGATTTGGCTTTTTGTTTCTTCACTTTTTTGTGTCATACCAATATAAACAAAAGAAATAAACATGAGAATCCTGAAACATTTGTAATTGCACCTGTGGAGAAAACAACAGTTGGAAAAAGGAACCCTTTTAATCTGAGAGACCTAGAGCAGTTGGTGATAGAAGAGTGGTCCAAAATTCCAGTAGAGAGGTGTAAGAAATTAATTGATGGTTACAGGAAGAGATTGATTTCTGTAATTATTTCCAAAGGGTGTGCTACCAAATATTAAATTTAGGGTGCCAATAATTTTGTCCAGTCCATTTTTGGGGTTTTGTGTGTCAGATTTGGCTTTTGTGTCTCCACTTTTTTATGTCATACCAATACAAACAAAAGAAATAAACATGAACATACCTAAACATCTGGAAAACAGTTTTCTGGTGAAGTGGTGCATTATCTGACAGAAATGTAGGGGTGCCAATATTTTTGGCCATGACTGTAAATAACACATGGAGGCTGGAGTACTTTAGGAGTTCGGAATCTTCTCTTATAAAAAGAATGAATATTCACTTTATTTATCCAATTGTGTAAAAAGTTAATTCCGTTTACTAATTTCATCTGCACATGATTGGTAATTAAAGTGAATAAAAATCTGTAACTCCTTTAGTAAATCAGCTTCTCTACCTAACATGCTGCACTTCACAAGAAAAATACATCTGATGACAAGTCTGCTTGAAGTTATCCGGGGGAAAATGAGACATTCTTACCAAACTGAGGGGCAGAAAGACACTTATAAAGGAAGAGCTAAATATACTCAATATAATAAAAAATAACAATTGAAGAATGACAGGTAACATATAATAGTCACATAATGGATTAAGATTATAACTCTCTATTTGTGTCCCTGGGAATTCAGAAAGTGTTGGATTAGCAATGGGTGCGGATATAATTGTCACCTGTTGATCAATATTTATAGAACAGTGAACATGACCCATATATGACACTTCTACTAATCTGAATTACATGGATGCCAACTGTACTGGATTTGCTGGGACTATCGCACATCTTGGAACTCTCTACAGATGATGCTGTGTCCCAGGATCATAGCATCACCCTTATTTGAGTTACTGAGCATCCACAGTAATTCAAAAAAAGAGTAATAACTCAGGGGATCATGGCTGCGAGTGGGTGTAGGTATTAAATTAGGATGGACTGGACATGATACCCCTTAGCAGAGGAAAACAGAAATTTTGTGATGTGTGGAAATGTGATTACCTGGACTGTACTGTCTGTAGATAGAGGAAATTTGTGTGGTGGGGTGATGAATTGGATTGTACTGTCTGTAGATTGAGCAGATGTAGGATGTGGAAGGGGAGATATTGGGTTGGGTGATGTTGCTCAATAAACATGCTCCCTTCTCTATTACCCAACTTCCCTTCAAAATGCTGGGTTACAAGTTCACTGTAATACTTTATTTTGGTTTTAAAAATGCAAATATAGAGGCTAAAGAAGTTGAAAATCTTTACTAAAATTGTGTGAATAATCACTTCAATTATTCACTCGTGAAATAACAATTCAGTGTCTTAGGTGAACTGTGTTTGATTTCATTCACTTGGGCAGCTGTGTTGGGGGGTGGCAACTAAAGCTGGCGGATGAGTCCTGGTTTTATTCCACCTAAACTGGGGCATACAGCTGCTCAGGGCTGTACAAATGCCATAGCCATAATGCTTCACTTTACAGTGAATATTCGGCAAGCAGTACCATGCAGTGAAGGTGGTGGCGAAGTAGTGGGTGGGCATTTTGAAGGTTAAAGCAGGCAGTGAGGTGATATGTCGCCTATGCAACATCTTCTGAAATCATTCCACCATGAATTGCAATTCATAGGGGCAGTATAGGCACACATACGTAAATGAACCCTTAAAAAGAACAGCTCATGACTATTACATTTCCAGAAGAATTGAAGAGTGTTATATTAAATATATAGGGAGTGGGAGATGGAGAAAAAATTACTCTCCATACCCTTGTAAACATGGTTTTACTGGTACCACACCCCTAATGAGAAATGTATTGAATAGGACCCTAAGCAAGAAAAGCTAGTGTGGCTTTGAAGGTACCAAACCATACATATAAACATAAATTTTACAAAAATGTAATTACAGTTAGTAAAATTGAACAACTTTTATTAGATTAAAAAAGAACCACCAACAGGTGGAGCATAATCATCAAACATATACATGGAAAAATATAAAATACAATTGATGATGTCCTAGACGTGGGTTTATGTGATTAGTAGTTTACACAACTGACAAAGGCACATTTGTGCTTTCTGTTAAAGCCCAAGTTCGGGAAAAGAAAAAATACCCATTTCAATGGGGCTGCATTATTTTTTTTTACATTGTAGCCTGTGAAGTATTGCTCAATCAGCAGATCATGGGTACAATGCCAGGATCCTGCAGAATCTCAGTACACTGTCTGTCCGTACCTTCCATACAGGAAAGCAGTAAATAAATGGTGGGAATTATCAATGAACTATGAGAGCACTCACCAGTGCCCTCACAGTTCATTGAGAATTACAAGCCATCAGCCTCAGTGGCTGTTGGTACATGTAGTCTAATTAATTCACAGGAAACTGAATAAATGATGTGGCTATGTGGGCAGAGCTCCACCCAGCCACGCTGTTTTCCAATTGTGACAGCGGATGTGAGGAGGAGATCCCCTGCCCCCTGTCACAAAGCTGAGAACACTGGCAGCATGAGGTGGCTGTAACATGTTCTTAAAGGTGAACTTAGCCTTTAAGTAAAACTGCTTTTCCTGGTCCCCTAGACATAAAATCAGTTAATCCTTTCAGTGTGAGGGCAGCCCCACTACACAGAATCATTTTTACTTTCCTCAGAATTCAGCTTTAAGCTCACAAGAAGTGATAAGGACGCTGCATAGGTATTTTTCTGTATTTGCAGAAAGTAGTATAGCATTAAAAAAATGAAAACTAACTCAGCTACCACATCCAAGGACTAGGAATCAGGTTTGTGTTTTGGTCGAAAATGGGTTTTGGTGTTATTCACTTTAAGGTCATTAAAAAGGACAGGGAGGGCATTCTATATGTCTTGAGGAAAAGAGATTTAACCTTCAAATATAGAAAGGCTTCTCCACAGTACAAAATGTGAAAATGTGAGATAGGCTCCCACAAGAACTAGTCTGATCAGCATAGCAGACTGTTTTTTTTTAAAAAAAGAGCTGGATGCATTCCTAAAGGCACAAAATATAACAAGATATTAACATTTAGAGGTTATACCACCAGAGATGTTTTGATCCAGTGAATATCCAATTGCCTTCTGGGGGATCCAGTAAGAATTTATTTTTCCCTATTGAAGCAATTTGGACTATGCAAGGTACCTCCTTAGTCATTTGGCTTGGTAGAGTACAGGAAGGTTCGGCGGTGCACAATTGCCACCCAGGCTGCATGTCTGGATAAAGGTGGAATTTTTACCATTTTTCCCTGTTTTTTTTTTTAATGAGTACTGTCACTTTTAAAGGACTACATTATACCATTTCATGCATATTTAAGGCACTTCTTTATGTCATTGTTGCCCTTTAGGTTGCATGAGAGGACCCTATCCCAACTAAATTGTGTTTTTAATTTTTTTTGTGCAGATTGTTAGCATTGGTACATGTCCCCTTGGCAGTGTCCAGCTCCCCATGCCCTTTTTTAAACAATAGCTTGTCTTTTAGCCTTGAAAATGGACAAAAAAAATAGCCAGTTTCGACCTGAATAGACTTCAGAGGGGTTCAGTAAAAAGTTCAGACTTTGCAGACTTCCTGCTGGTTCACTGAACCCAACATGAATCAAACCTAGCCAGATTCAATGATCCCTGCTACAGACTGATATGTTGCAATATATAATTTTTTTTCCCTGGGTTTATACACTATATTGCCAAAAGTATTGGGACACCTGCCTTTACATGCAAATGAACTTTAATGGCATCCCAGTCTTAGTCCGTAGGGTCCAATATTGAGTTGGCCCACCTTTTGGAGCTATAACAGTGTCAGCTCTTCTGGAAAGGCTGTCCACAAGGTTTAGGAGGGTGTCTATGGGAATGTTTGACCATTCTTCCAGAAAGCATTTTTGAGGTCAGGCACTGATGTCAGACGAGAAAGGCCTGGCTCACAGTCTCCACTGTAATTTATTCCAAAGGTGTTCTGTGGGGTTGAGGTCAGCAACCGCCAAACCCAGACATGTCCATCGGATTGCCAGACAGAGAACACGTCTCCACTGCTCTAGAGTCCAGTGGCGGCGTGCTTTACGCCACTGCATCCAGCACTTTGCATTGCACTTGGTGATAAAGGTTTGGATGTAGCTGCTTGGCCATGGAAACCCATTCCATGAAGCTCTCTACGCACTGCTGTTGTGCTAATCTAAAGGCCACATGATGTTTGGAGGTCTTTAGCTATTGACTCTGCAGACAGTTGGCGACTTCTGCGCACTGTGCACTTCAGCATGCGCTGACCCCACTCTATCATTTTACGTGGCATACCACTTCGTGGCTGAGTTGCTGTTGCTCCCAGTTGCTTCCACTTTGGTATAATACCACTAACAGTTGACCTTGGAATATTTAATAGCAAGGAAATTGCACAGATGGACTTATTGCACAGGTGGCAACCTATCACGGTACCACGCTTGAATTCGCTGAGCTCCTGAGAGCGACCCATTCTTTCACAAATGTTTATAGGTGTTTGATTTTATACACCTGTGGCCATGGAGGTGATTGGAACACCTGAATCGAATGATTTGGAGGGGTGTCCCAATACTTTTAGAAATATAGTGTATATACTAACAAAGATCATAGAGGTTGATGAAATGCGTCGGATACAGCAGAAGGTCAATAACTTGATTTCCTCCACTTCCTTTCCAGTATTTGAATTGCACGATTGAGGGTATAAAAGAAGTAGGACAAATAATAGCAATTCTATTACCGCAGTGATGGGACTGGTTTGGGAGCATGTATGAATGAGGAGGAAGTGTCTTGTAGTCCCACAGTAATATGCAGGATTAACCCTTTTATGTATACATTTTGAAAGTCACAGTCAGGATATTTTCATCAGTGTTCTTCACATGTCCACTTGACTGGACTGCATGCATTTGAGGTTTTAACTGAAGAAACAATTTAGATGGTATTTGCTCTATTATCCTATAGGCCTTTTGTATCAGGCTGTGCACTTAAGCTTTACAATACAGAAAGACATTAACTAACTTCTAGGACTCATGCACATTGGATGTTTTCAATGTTGTTCCTAAGGGCGTCTGGCTTTTTTTTTGGCTTCTAAATGCCCCTGCATGTTTATTTTATTTATTTATTTATTTATCGAGTTTATATAGCGCCAAAGGGTTTGCTCAGCGCTGTACAATAGAGGGGGGACAATACATGAAACAGTACAGTAACATCAAACAGCACACAAGGGGTAAGAGGGCCCTACTCTTTCGAGCTTACAATCTAGGAGGGAGGGGGTAGAGGTACAGGAGGAAATGGCTGTGGGGGATGGAGTGGAAGGAGGAGGGAAGGGCAGCGGCTGTTAGGTGAGGGTGGGGTAGGCTTCCCTGAAGAGGTGGGTTTTCAGGGAGCGCCTGAAGGTGAGGAGGGAAGGTGACAGTCTGATGGTTGGGGGTAGTGAGTTCCAGAGGATGGGGGAGGACCTGGAGAAGTCTTGCAGTCGTGCGTGGGAGGAGGAGACCAGGGAGCAAGATAGAAGGAGGTCCTGTGAAGAGCGAAGGGTACGGGTAGGGTGGTATCTGGGAATCAGGTCGGTGAGGTAGTTAGGGGCAGTGTTGTGAATGGCTTTATAGGTCAGAGTGAGCAGTTTGAATTTAATGCGTTGGGCAATGGGGAGCCAGTGGAGGGAGAGGCAGAGGGGGGTGGCAGAGGTGGAGCGGCTGGTGAGGTGGATGAGTCTGGCAGCTGAGTTCAGGATGGTCTGAAGCGGGGTGAGTTTGCACTGGGGTAGGCCGGTGAGGAGGGAGTTGCAGTAGTCAAGGCGTGAGATAATCAGGGAGTGAACGAGTAGTTTAGTGGTGTCTGGGGTAAGGAAGGAGCGTATCTTGGAGATGTTCCGGAGGTGGAGCCTGCATGAGTTTGTGAGAGATTTGATATGAGGTTGAAAGGAAAGGTTTGAGTCCAGAATGACGCCAAGGACCTTGGCTTGCGGGGCGGGATTGATGGTGGTGTTGTTGGTAGTGATGGAAAGGATGGGGGGGGGGGCACGGGAAGGGGGAAAGACGAGAAGCTCGGTTTTGGAGAGGTTGAGTTTGAGGAAATGGAGCGACATCCAGTCAGAGATGTCGTTTAGGAGGTGAGTGATGCGGGCGGAGAATGTGGGGGTGAGGTGAGGGGTGGATAGGTAGATTTGAGTATCATCAGCATAGAGGTGGTAGTTGAAGCCGTGGGAGTGTATGAGTTTGCCAAGGGAGGAGGTGTAGATGGAGAAGAGAAGGGGTCCAAGGACAGAGCCCTGGGGGACCCCAACAGAGAGGGGGAGGGAAGAGGAGGTGGCGCCGTTGTAGCAAACGCTGAAGGAGCGTTGGGATAGGTAGGAGGAGAACCAGGAGAGAGCGGTGTCTCTGATGCCAAGGGAGAGTAGTTTATTAAGGAGGAGGGGGGTGGTCGACTGTGTCAAAGGCCGCAGAGAGGTCTAGGAGAAGGAGGACAGAGTAGTCGCCTTTGGCTTTGGCGGTTAGTAGATCGTTGGTGATTTTGAGGAGGGCAGTTTCGGTGGAGTGTAGGGGACGGAAGCCGGACTGTAGTGGGTCAAGGAGGTTGTTGTCAGTTAGGTGGGCGCTTAGGCGATCGTAGACCAAGCGCTCAAGGAGCTTGGACGTGAGTGGCAGTAGGGAAATTGGTCTGAGGTTGTTGAGGTCAGTGGAGTCCAGGGAGGGCTTTTTGAGTATGGGGGTGATGTGCGCATGTTTTAGGGGGGAGGGGAAGACGCCAGTAGCGAGGGAGAGATTGAAGATGTGGGTAAGGGAGCGGATGAGGGAAGAGGGGGGTGACCGGAGGAGTTGAGAGGGGATAGGGTCCAGGGGGCAGGTAGTGAGGCGGGCTTCTGAGAAGACTCTGGTGACTTCCTCAGTGGTAGTAGGGCTGAAGGAGTGCAGTGATGGGGGGGTTACGGTAGGCAGGGCCTTGGGTGTGGTGGGGGGCAGTGCCGTTGCAAGGTCAGAGGAGGGGAGAGATGAGAGGGTGATGGAAGGGGGGAGGCTAGATGGGGAGGTAGACTGCAAGTTGACTATGTCCTTGCGGATTGCGTCAATCTTGCTATGGAGATGAGTGGCAATCTCGTGGGCGGTAAGTGAGGTACTGAGTGGAGGAGGGGGGGGAGAGAGCAGGGAGTTGAAGGTGGAGAAGAGTCGGCGAGGGCAGTTAGAGAGGGTGTTGATCAGGTCAACGAAGTAGGCCTGCTTGGCGGCGTGGAGGGAGGAGGTGTAGGTGAGGAAGGCAGATTTGTAGAGGGAGAATGCATGAGGGGACCTGGTTTTGCGCCATAGTCTCTCCAGCGCACGACTGCGACGTTTGAGGCATGTTAGCCTGTGTGTTCATGTGCACATATAGGCATTTAGAGGCAGAAAAGAAAAGTCAGTGCATCCAGGTGCAGCCATATTTTGGCACAAAAAAAGTGTGTAAACGAGTGGTAACTCTAGGAACATTTACTGCTTGAGTGTCAATTCATGTAAATGGCCAGAATAAATTATTATTCTGACCAATTAAATGAATTAACGGCCAAACACTTCATGTGCCTAAGCGCATTATATATGTTTACAAGCATAAAGTGGTTTTGAAGCCAAAATGCTGCTGCCAGGAGAAAAGGCATCTAGGAAAGCTAGCAAAACGTCCTGTGTGCAAGAGGCCTTACTCATATAATAGAACATATCTGAACAAAATGATGGTGTTTCTTACCAAAACTGAAAATTACATTCTAAGAGCATAAATAATTTGATTTACAGCTAAAAAAAGTTACTGCAAGCCGTATTATTTTGGTTTTGAGAAATTTTTGAGGATTACATTACAGGAGATGAACACGCATGTTTTGTGGACATGTGATATACAGTATATATATATATCTATATAGATATATATATATACATATACACTTTTATTTTATTTTTTTTGGGACACCTTATGCTTTTGTGAACACTGGAAATCAAATAGTTTTTTTCAGCAGTGAATATTTGATTGTATTTGCACAATTATTTACAAGTTTTGTACAAATATGTGTTTATTATATGATCACTGCATAAAGTTGAATGAAAATGTGTATATACAGTGGGGCAAAAAAGTATTTAGTCAGCCACCAATTGTGCAAGTTCTTCCACTTAAAAAGATGAGAGAGGCCTATAATTGGCATCATAGGTAGAACCTCAACTATGAGAGACAAAATGAGGAACAAAAATCCAGTCAATCACATTGGCTGATTTGGAACTCCCACAGTTGATTTGTTCACACCAAGCTGCTTGCCTATTGCAGATTCAGTCTTCCCAGTCTGGTGCAGGTCTACAATTTTGTTACTGGTGTCCTTCGACAGCTCTTTGGTCTTCACCATAGTAGAGTTTGGAGTGTGACTGTTTGAGGTTGTGGACAGGTGTCTTTTATACTGATAACAAGTTCAAACAGGTGCCATTGATACAGGTAATGAGTGCAGAACAGAGGAGCCTCTTAAAGAAGAAGGTACAGGTCTGTGAGAGACAGAAATCTTGCTTGTTTGTAGGTGACCAAATACTTATTTTCCACCATAATTTGCAAATAAAATTCTTTCCAAATCAGCCAATGTGATTGTCTGCATTTTTGTTCCTCATTTTGTCTCTCATAGTTGAGGTCTACCTATGATGCCAATTACAGGCCTCTCTCATCTTTTTTAAGTGGGAGAACTTGCACAATTGGTGGCTGACTAAATACTTTTTTGCCCCACTGTATATATTTTAGAACAATCGCTAGGAAGGATAATTAAAATTTGGTTTTGTGGTTTATCACATATGATTTATTCACAATATTGAGCACCACACCCAGACTGTGACTCGCCGAAATTTCAGTGTACACACACACACAGTGCTACGCACACACTATATGAATAACTCCTTGTTCATCTGTGAAAGCCCTTTTTTTTTTACTGCCTACTATACATTTTGCTACATTATTTGTTCCGTGTGGAGCACCAAGACATTTATTTGTTGGAGTGCTGCTACTGCCAGGTCCCCATTATTTATCCATAGATATTTCTCCAGAGATATGAGGCCCTTTACTCTCAGGGGAGCTCTCACACCCCATTTTCATAGTGGCTTTCACCATGCATTTACTTATGTATGCGCGCTTGCATAACTGGATTGCCAACGTTAGATTGTTAGCTCCTTTGGTGCAGGGATTGATGTGATTGTTTCTATGTTTTCTCTACAGTACTGTGGAGATAAGTGACTATGGGACATAATGTAAATAGATCTGATACCTCTATATAAAGTCTGATAATGATCTTCTCCTGGGTCATTAGGTTCATATAACCGCATTCTACATTCACACTATTAGAGTCAGTAACCTTCAGTAATTTATGTTAGCGAGGAACGCACATTGTCAGTTGTTGAATCACTCACTTTAAAGAATGCGCCCGCACTCTTCCTTGTCATAGAGCCAGTCATTTACTCCCCGCAAACAGAAGCCTATTGTTACTGATGTATAATCATTTAGGCGTAGCT